TGCTGTGGGAGCAGGTAGTAAGGCTTCGAAGTCATAGGAAATCAGTGGGTGGTCTAGGGGAAGGAGCCCAGGAGCTGCGTGAGGGCGGCCGCAGTGGGCTCACTTCTGTCTCCCCCACTGTTCCAGGAGTGCCTCCAGGGCAGAACGGTGTTGGTGGCATTCAAGTTCATGTCCTGGGGCTGGCCCAGGGCCCACTGGATGGTCATTAAGAGTTTGCGGTATTAAACTGCTGAATAGCACACAGCAAGGTCAGACGAGGGATAAGGAAGAAGGGGTCAGAAGTGTGTCCAGTAATTCGTGTGTACTCAGTTCAGCACTCGCCTCCCCCAGCTCCACCCACGGCTGGTGCCTTTCCACCTTTTGTTTGTTTGTTTTTTTTTGTTTTTGTTTTTGCGGTAAGCGGGACTCACCGCTGCGGCGGCCTCTCCCGTCGCGGAGCACAAGCTCCGGACGCGCAGGCCCAGCGGCCATGGCTCACGGGCCCAGCCGCCCCGCGGCATGCGGGATCCTCCCGGGCCGGGGCACGAACCCGCGTCCCCTGCATCGGCAGGCGGGCTCTCAACCACTGCGCCACCAGGGAAGCCCTGCCTTTCCACCTTTTAGGGCCCAGGCCACCTCTTGCCTCTCTGCCCATCCTCTAAAGCAGCCCTCCTCTCCCCCAGCCACTGTCTATCCCTGTTTATTTTCATCATTGCCTCGTTGCCTTTGGAACCCATCTTATTTCCCCTGCTCACCAGCTCTCTGAAGGCAGAGACTTTGCCTCATTCACTGCTTTATCTGTGGTAGGTGAATGAATGAGTGAACGAATGATCTCCAGGATCCTCGTGCTGAGTCAGACCCAGGCCCTGGCCTTGAGGATGGCCCAGCCTGGCAGGGAGGCTGGCAGCAGCCTGAGGGAGCTGCCAAAGGGCTGGGGGTTAGGAGAGAGGGTGTAAGACAGGAAGGGGGAGGGGAGGGGAGATTCCTTCCCTCGTGCAGGCTGGTGACACGTGTGCCTGCGGGTAGCAGGGCTTGCTGGGAGCACGCAGGCTCAGGGGGCGAGGGCAGGCACCGAGGGCAGGCACAGGCCGTGGCCTTCTGAGGTGCCTCCACACCCGATCTCATGCCCTTGTTTGCTCCCACCCCATCAGCCATTTTCCCTATTTTGTGTTTTACAACTTTCCTTTCTTCCTGACCGATTTCTCTACTAAATTTGACTTCGTTTCAACACTTCTGTTGGGCAAATTACATTAAGATGGATGTTGCAGGTACCCTTATGGTTTATTTATCGTGATACTGTTTGTATCTCACGCTTATAAATAACTTATGTTATAGCTTTTGTTTGTGGAAATGTAACTTACATATTTTATTACGCTTTCTGTAAACCTCAAAAAGAATCTTGTCAAGGAAGCACTCTTATCAGCAATCCAACCTATGGGATGTAAAAACCCACACTAACATTATTTTTTAATATGCCAAGGAGGCAGGTTACTCTTGCTGTAGTTTGAAAGGTTTGCTGTCATTGTAAACTTACACCTCAATAAAACATTAAACAGTCTCAAGAATGATTTTATAAAGTTCAGGGAGGAGGATGAATCAGTGGCAGAAGCCACAGACACAGCACAGAAGGGGCCCTGTGGGACTGGCCTTTCTTGGGGAGTGACCAGCCCCATCTGGGGGTCCCAGTGGGTCCATATGCACCTCCCCACCCAACTGTCTCCAGAGCCCAGTAGTGAAGTACCCAGTTAAGTTAGTGGAAAAGAAACATGAGTTTTGGAGTCAGGCTGACCTGACTTTGAATCCTGGCTCGTCCACTTTTTAGCTGTGTGGCTCGGGTTAGTCTTTTAGTCTCAGTTTTTTCATCTCTAAAATGAGGATAATATCAATACTTACTTGACTTTCTTATTGGTAAGCATTACATTTAAATGAGATCATGATTTGCAGTGCTTTGTGCTCATTAAATGACAGTGGTTCCAGTTGTTTAATGTTCATCTTGGGACTTTCACTGTCTCCCTCTGTACTCTGCCCCGCCCCGCTCTCCAGGCGCTCTTTGCCTCCTCGCCAGAAGGTGCTGGGTTCTCTCAAATGCTTCCTCGCCTACACTGCTGGACTGGCCTCCATCGAGACGAGGCTCCCGTATGCCAGCTCTTCCACTTTCCCCAGTTTCTCTCACCAAACTTACCCTGTTCTTTGTTCTCACGCTCAGCTCCGTTGGTAGTGAACTCAGTCACTGAGCTCAGCTCACAGCCAGGGCCAGGTCAGTTGCGCATGTCGACAAGGGCTTCTAGTACCATAACCCAAAGGCACTTCTAGGTTGGCAGGGCCAGTGGAAGGGAGGTCAGGGGCCAACAGGGCTTTTCTGGCTGCTCTGATTATCACACGGTGCAGCACCCCCATCCCCTGTTCTAGAGAAGCCTGATTGGAAAGCACAGAAAACACAGAAACATCTAGAACACAAGCAGGATACAGCTCTCAGGGGTCAGGTTCTTAAGTCAGTGGAGAAGGCAAAAGTTGTGCGGTCATAATACCTTCAAACTGTTTCTTGCTTGACTGACTATCAGCTGAAGCTGTTGGCTTGACCTAGAGCCCCGCACAGCGTGGACGAGACCTGTTCGCCTGCCAGAAGCTCATCAGAAGGGCGAGGTGCGCTGGCAGCGGCCCACGCATCCCTCTCCTCACTCTGGGCCGGATGCTGTGGGTAGGTGGTAGACCCCGAGGAACTGCCAGGATCATTTATTTTTTCCTGTTGCTGAGTGTAAGTCACATTCACCTGTGATCTGATTGGAGCATGTAACACAGGGGTCCCCAACCCCCAGGCCACGGACCAGTACCGGTCTGGCCCGCAGCCTGTTAGGAACCGGGCCGCACAGCAGGAGGTGAGCGGCGGGGGAGCGAGCGAAGCTTCCTCTGCCGCCCCGCATCGCTCGTGTTACCTCCTGAAACATCCTCCCACGCCCCCACGCCCCCCCTCCCCCACCGCAACCCCCGACAGTGGAAAACTGTCTTCCACGAAACCAGTCCCTGGTGCCAAAAAGGTTGGGCACCGCTCTGTAACAGATCCAACTAGCTCTCTTTTGTGCAGGCTCCACAAGATTGGGTGTGCCCTTTAGTCCTTGCTTTGCCCTTGGGATAGGATGACCCTGCAGAGAACTCCCACGCGGGACTCCAGCTTTCCCCTGGAGTCCCCGCAATCCCTCGCCAAGGCCGACTCTGGCAAGGCTGGCCTAAGCGGGTGGGGCGCAGTTTCAAACCAGGACCCACTGGGTCAGGGGGTGAGTGTGCAGTCTGATGTGCTCTGCAAACACCCTAATTCCCCACTCCCTCCTCCTCCCTCAGAAAGGGCACAGAATGGAACTTAGCTCTCCAAGGAGAATCAGGATTCCTTTCCAGGTCTCAGGGGAGAAACCTGTAGCCAGACTCAACCTCTCCAGCAAAGGCCAGGTAAGAGTCGTGGCAGGTGGCTTTGAACATGGCTCCCGAAGACCCCTGCCTCCCGCCTTTGTATAACCCCTCCCCCTGGGTGTGGGCTGGGCCAGTGATTTACTTCCAATGAAGAGAACACAGGAAAAATGATGCGTGGCCCCTCCGCGATTAGGTTGTGACTTCCAGACTGCTGTGCTTCTCTCTCTCTCGCTCTGGTAAAGCGAGATGCCAAGTTGTGAGCCGCCCTGTGCAAAGGCCACTTGGCGAGGAGCTGAGGCTCGGTCCACCAACCCGCGAGGAGCCGACTCCTGCCAATAGCCACGAGGGGGCTGGAAGCAGGTCCTTTCCGGGCAAGCCTGGTGATGATCAGGGCCCTGGCCCACAATGCTGGCTGCAGCCTGGGAGACTCTGAGGCAGAGCACTCACAGGAACTGTGAGATGAGCAGTGTTGCCCTAAGCCACTATGTGTTGGGGTCGTTTGTTACACAGCAACAGAGTTCTGAATAACACATGGTAATGGATGTAAACATTAACTGGTTTCAACTCACCATTCTCAAATACAGGTCTTGGAGAGGCCAGGAATTCCCTTGAGGTGACACAGACCTGGGGTCAAATCCTGCCTGCGTGGCCAGTGTAAGCTGTGTACCACCTTTGCGCCTCAGCTTCCTCATCTGAAAAGTGGGAGTAGTGCTGTCCACCTTCACAGGTCTGTTGTGAGGACTAAGTGAGAGGTCAGATGGGGAGGGCACGGCAGACGTTCCATCGCTTTGCTGAGTCTGTTCCCTGCTGCGCGCGCTGCCTCTCCGTGTGCTCTGCACACCCCGGCACCACGAGCAGGCCCTGCTGAAGTGGGGCTGGGGCAGGCCTGATAAGTCCTCCTCCCCAGCAGCTCTGCAAGGCCAAGACAGAGCCCTTCCTGGCTGGGGAGAAACCACCAGGCGACCTTTGGCGATGTGGTCAAGAAAAGCAAGTACACATGGTGATTTTCTTGTGAGCAGTTTAATGCAAATAATACGGTGCTTTTAGGTCTTGGACCTTTTTATTTATTTATTTATTTATTTATTTATATTTATTTTGGCCACGCCACGCGGCTTGCAGGATCTTAGTTCCCCAACCAGGGGTTGAAGCCGGGCCATGGCAGTGAAAGCCCGGAATCCTAACCACTAGGCCACCAGGGAACTCCCAGGTCTTGGACCTTTTTCAAAAAACAAACCAAAAAACAGTGTCAGAAGGGGATAGGTCTTCTATGAAGGATTTTTTGGGGGATGAGTAGTGTACAGTAATAAGCCCATGAGAAAGAGAAAATTCTCAAGTCAGACTTCTCTAAACAGTTGAGGTTTTATGAAGTTCAGAATTTGCCTTCTTGTGGAAAATTATTTATCCCACTGCTAATGAAACACAGTGTAAGGCTGAGGCTTCCTTCTCCATTAGATACCAGAAGTAACCCTACCTAGAACACACTTTTCCCTGATTTCCTGGGTTCACACACGGAAGACAAACATTTTGAGATAAACTTGGGTGACTCTGCTTTCCTGTGACAAGCCTGTTGTAAAACTCAGCTATCAAGAAAGTTTTCAAGAAATACTAGTCTGAGAAACGAGATTATAACAGGAGCTTGTAGATTTACTTCTTCTTTAACAGTAAGGCCAACCTTTCATGTCTTATCAGAAATAAAGGGAACAATATTCATTACAAGCCTGAGCCATGAAGACAGAGCAGTGAGACACCAAAGCCATCTGACAGTGGCAATCTCAAATGAATAGCCTAGCTCCAGTCTCTCACAAACTGTAAAGGCTTCCTCCTTGTCCTGGGTTTGGGCCGAGCTGCAGTCCCCACAGTAGTAAGAGTTTTTGTGGAAGGATGAAAACCAGCTGATCCTCATCCTCTGAAAATCTATACTTTAGCACCTAGAACTGTTTTGGGTGGCCCAAGAAGGCAGAGCTGCTTTGAATCTGTATTTTGACCGGACACCCTCATCTTCTCTTAAAAATTAAATGGAGGCAGGCCTGGGTGCTAGTAGCACCCAGAGCTACTTGCTGGGGGCTACCTACTCCTTCTGAAGAAATATCTCTGCAGGCAGTAATTGCACAGCTTAATTCTTCTAGACTAAACCACTTCAGATTTATGCCAGCGAAGAGCAAACGTTGTTTGTAAGTCATTTAATTGTGTTACTGTCTCTCAACTTTATCAGACGCTGCTGAGGCGGAGAGGGCTGTGTGCAATCCTGCGGGATGCTCTGGAGAGCTCCCAGCCTCGTTCTAAATGCCCACAGCTCAGAGTCCCCAGTGCTGCTTTTTCCAGACTCATAACAAACTACTAATTTAACAGGTTCAAATGGTATATTTGTCTCAATCCGGGATCTATGTTGAAGGCTGCATCTCTCACAAATTCACAACCTTGACTGCAGAGCCATTAACTAGTACACACTTAGGCGTAAACCTGGTTTATTATATTCTTTGGTTAAATATTGTCTCTACACCCTTTCAGAGCATTATAAGAACAAAGATAAATGATATTTTATAGAAAGACTGAAAACACATCTTTTGCTTTTTCAGTGCAAAGCCTGAATTTACATTGTTTGTGCGCTATTATAAATTCTTATAATTAGGCCAGGCTTATAAAAAGGTAGGACTTTTGTTGTTGTTGTTTGTTTGTTTTGAAAAATAGATTCCCCTGGGCTAGCCAACATCACTGTCCTGGGATCCAGACCCACAAGTCTCTTGATAAAAGCTGCTCGGCACACGGTCAGAAGTCGGGTCAGCTCATCATGTCCAGACTGCACGGTTCGGTGCTGCCATCACTGCGCAGGGCCTCTGCCACATCTCTTCTGAAGACCGAGAGGTTCTGGGTGAACCTGTGGAAAGAGTAAGAAAGGGCTGAGGGCAGTGGCAAGGCTGTGAGGGCAGAGGCTGTGTGAAGCTCTGGTGGCGGAGTTCAGGACCCTGGAGACGGCCTAGGTGCTGGCTGAGCTCCTTCCTCCCATTTCACCGACCACTACTGCTCTGCCAGCAGCGTGCCCTCCTCCTTCCCCTCCCGGAAAACAAGGGTTACCAGCAAATACACTCTGACCATTTCGAGGCGTGCATTCTGTGGTTGTACTATTTAAAAATTATTTTTAAAAGTCAAATTACATTATAGATGGTAAGGAATATAAAGAAAAGAACAAAAGCTTATGTGCCTGGCACTGGTTGAGTTTACATATAAATTCATTTAATCATCACAAGTCTTCTCCAAAGTAGGTGTCAGTATCCTCATTTGCAGATAAGGAAACCAAACTAAGTGCTTCAAAAAGAGGGGGCACTGGGTAAGACTACCTGGGCTCAAATCCTGGCTCCATCACTTCTAAGCTGGGTGATCTCTTGTCTTGGTGCCCCACATGAGTAGCTAGCTTACGGGATTGTGGGAAGTGAGAATTTACTGAGTCAAGTGAGACGATGCCTGTAAGTGCTCAACACCCTGCCTGGCACATGGAAAACACCCAGTCCTTGCTAGCTAGTACTCTCACTAAACGAGGAGCTTGTCTGACACCATTTCACAGAGCGGCTCAGGAGGCAATACTCAAATTCCCAAGCCTCAGGTGAAGCAATTTCCCCCCGAGGCATGTAGGGAAGGGTCCCCTCTTCCTTCACGAAGTCTCTTCTCCTGCTAGCCCTGGAGGCTGCCCCTTTTTGCCTGATAGAGGGTCTTGGCTCAGAACAAGCAGTCAAGGGAACATGTCCACAGAGCCCATCTGACTTGGCCTTGTATTACCAAAGCCCAGGTTTTGGCTTGTGGCTATCGGGATGATTAATAATATGCATTTCAAATGGCGCAGTGTCTGAATGCTACCACTTTTATAAAAGGATGAGGCAAGTTTTTTTTTTTTTTTTCCTGAAAACATTTTCTCTCTCCATCATTCATTATGCCTGTCTCTTCCACTAGAAACTCCGTGAGGGCAAAAACCGGGAACAATTAGTTCCTCAGTGGTATCCCCAGTGCCTGGCACATAGCAGATTCTTAATAAAATTTTATGAACTAAATGAATGAATGAATGAATGAATTCAGGCATAGGTGATAAGTTTGGGTTCCTCATCAAGATCTCACTGGCAACTTACCTGTCTCTGTTCTTGCAAAACCAACCACTTTTAAAGGGCAGACAGAGGAAGGAACTACTTACTGTGCATTATATGTCCTGGGTACCATGTTTACTATATTCTGTCATTTAAAGGTCACAATCAATTATCATCATCTCTGTTTTACTGGTGAGAAAACTGAGGATCAGAGAACTTGACTGCCTTACTCACTGCCACACAGCCTATAAAGGGCAGGGATAAAATTTAAATTGGAGTCTGTCTGACCTCAAAGCCTATGCTTGTTCAAATGCCAGGAGGGCTTTCTTTGTCCTTCACAGCAGATCTAAACTTTCCTTCTTTTAACCTTTTCAATTAGTTATTTTTTTTCTCTCTCTCCTGTGGTTAAACTGCTTAAGGGCAAAGGCTGCATTTTATTCATCTCTGCATCCTCTATAGCAGGGGTCCCCAACCCCTGGGCCGCGGGCAACTGAAGCTTCATCTGCCGATTCCCATCGCTCATCCCCATTATCCCCATTGCTCGCATTACCCCCTGAATCCCCCTCCCCCGCCCCGGGAAGAATTGTCTTCCACGAAACTGGTCCCTGGTGCCAAAAAGGTTGGGGACCGCTGCTCTACAGTGCCTAGTGTGATGCTTGGAAGAAAGCAACTACCCAGTCATGTTTACTGGATGGAACTAAATTGAGTCTAGGATTACAAGGTGTACAAGGTGTAATAGAAAAGCCACATCAGTATGTTGTGAGCTGTGTTAAGCGCAATCCCGGAACGTCCACCTACCCCAGAGATGCTAAACTATGGGGCGCTGCTTACCTGTCTCTGTTCTTGACAGACAGGTTCTGCTCCACTCCTTCCATTAGGTTCCTGAAGCACTGGGCAAGGACCTCCTGCTTGGGGAGAGGTTGGCTGTTTATCAGACTTGCCCTCAGTTCACTGAAATACTGTTGGGAGACAGAACAAGTGTCAGAACTCTGGCTCCAAACTGGGGCCTGAGGAGAGCTGCAGGGGAGGGCTAGACCACCTCCAAAGTGCTCAGGCAGGGCTCCTAACTCTCAAAGGGGCTTTGGTCCAGGTCCCCTCTGAACTTTAAGCCTTTAGAGAAAACCAAAGCAACAGAGACATTCCTGAGTATAAACTGTATTATCCCTTCTCATAAAAATCTCTTCCTATAGTTGCTTTATTGTCACGGAACAATTTAGGCTGATGGAGTCCTCGCGTCCTCTGTGGGGGACCACGCACATAAAGGTCTTCCTGAGTCTCATCAACAATAATCACAGAAAGGCTGAAAGAGGAAGGACCTCTTAGGCTGAGGGGAAGAAATGAACTAAAAATGCCCAAGGAGCACTTTGGGCGACCAAGTCCAGGGTCCCTCCTCAGGCCTCTTCGTCTTCAGTGAACTACCCCTCAAACGACCCCAGGCTTTGTTCCAAGTCCTTGTCCTCCTGAGTTAGGATGGGTCTGTTCTGCTGAGGTGGGGTACTACAGGGACTTGCTTAGTCCTGGGCGAGCTTTCCGGCACTAAGAAAAACACCTGTCACACCTGGTCACAAAGAACTGCACAGCCCTTTCTTCTCTGCTGATGTCTGTGGGCTTTTACACACACAAACTCTTATGCTAAAAGCAGCTCCTAATCACTGGAAACAGCCTAATTTCAGCACAAAGACAACATTTTGCCAGTCATGTTTATCCTTCCAAGCCCAGACAGCATGGTATTTAATTTCTATCATACATTAAAACAGCTCACATCAAAAACGCACATAATTAATATGTAGTCAGACTAATACTTAAATACTATATATCAGAGGCATTACACTTAACCCACAATGTCTTCCTGAACAAGACTGGGAATGCACAAAACTACTTATTTTTCCCTTTCATAATGATGCAGTGACTCACACCAAATAGAAAATTATTAGTTTTTCATCCCAAACCGTGAAATATTACCTCCATCAGTAAAGTATAAGATTGTGATGTCATAAGCTTTTCCTAAACACCGAATTTGCCCTTATTCCCTCTCAATCATTTTAAAAGAACTGCTCTCTTTTATAGAGCTTGGATTTAAATCACAATAACACTGAGGGAAGATGAATGACAGTGCTATTGAGTGTGGCTAAAATTGGATACTTCAGCACAGGTGAATGATGAGACAGCTCTTCGCTTTTTGATATATTTTCTTCTTCTATTAGTTTCCTTCCAAGGCTGGGATTTCAGTTTGAATTTTAATGTATGCGGCTGCCTCTAATCTCACTGTCTTTTTCCCCAGTACTCTCTTATTGTATAGACAATTCATTCTCCCGAGCAGTAATGTACTGTTCCTACTGACTGCTGGGGAGACAGGGGTGGGTTCAAGGGGAAGCTGGAGAACTTGGGAGGCAGCCCAGAGTGGTGCGTGCACTTAAGGACTGGAGACTCGTGCTCCGGATGAAGGGCGCTGCCTCTGTGTTTGGCCCTGAGGGGCTACTGCTACTACTGAGGGCAGTGGGGATCCCACAAAGGAAAGGAGGCCTAGGAAGGGGCAAAATGGGTTGTTGCCCACAATCTCCTGGAACAGGGAAGGGAGTGAGGGTGGGCTGGGAGCACTGCTGAGCAAACCACCTGTCCAGGGCAGGGCTCCAGGTGCCAGAAAAGCTAGTGTGAGGCCTCTACTTAACTGAAGGAGATCTGAGGCCTCTGGGGAAGGGCCTTCTGGGGGAATACGGCCTTGTCCCGTGTGTTCAAGCTCCCAGCTCAAGCTCGGTTGGCTTTCCTGTCTTCGTCACAGCTTGGCCTGGTGTACAGCTGCTCCCTCTTCCCAGTGGTCGCCTCCTGCGGACCTTCCTGCAACCGCACTCACCTTCTCGTTGAGCAGGATGAGCCCCAGGAGAGGCCTGGATACTGACCACTGGTTCCGACAGTCTTCAAAGACAATGGTATTCATGAGGACAGACATCATCTAGAAGACAGAGTCACATGAAGACACTGATGCGCTGGCTCAGAGTTCCCCCCAATCCCAGGCCTTCTATGTGCTCACCTTCTATCCCCACATCTTGCCACCAGACATGAAGGTGCTTCCTGGACAAACAAACAGCTTTGACTCTGGAGGCCTATGATGCTGCTGTAGGAACTCTTGGCAAAGACTCTCAGCTCCCTGAGGAAGTGTTCCCACCACCAAAATCTTTGGTGAGAACCTTCTGGGTGGGCAGAAGTCAGAGGCCACAGAGCCAAGACGATCAGTCCCTGACTCTCAACCCTGATGTGCTTTCCTCTATACTGGGTCACCAGGCAAAAGCCCAGCTCACCTTTCTTTCTGCCTCTCATTTCACCAAAGACGCCAAGCTATGGAGGGGCAATATCTCTCCACGACTCCTCTCAGACAAGAGGGAGAAACGGGGCACATGCCAGGTAATGCTGGAAGTCACGTTTCCTGCTGGCTCAGGCTGTTAAAGTCTTCTCATTCATTCCTCATACACTAATTCACTCATTTACTCACTTCACTCCTACATTTCATACTCATCCATTTTCTTAAGTTCCAATTCTTCAAGACACCTGGGAGGCGGTAAGAGAACACAGGCATCTACCACAACCTCCATCCTTGAGGAGCTAAAAAACCCCTGGGGCAGACTACTCAGCACAGAGATAACAGCCACTAGGCTGGGCTAAGTTGCTGTGGGCATGCAGTGGAAAGAGGGATGCTTCTGGGTCCCTGAGAATCAGGGAAGGCTCCACAGAGAAGGTCATGTTTATGGAGTTCACCATAAATGTGTTCTAAGCAGAGACAGTGGCAAAAAAAGGAGGCTGGGAATGTACACAGTGGGTTCTACAGTGGTAAGGAATGCAGTGTGGCAGAAGAGAGGCGGGCCAGAAGCAAGACCCCAGTGTAGGCTGGAAGACCGCGATGAAGAATCTGGCAGTGGGAGCCAATGATGGGTTTGCAGCAAAGGAGAGACATGCTCAGATTTGTACTTAAGAAACCTCTCTCTGGGGACATTTGGAACGTGTACTGTGCAGGTGACAGTCAAGGAGGGAGACCAGAGATGAGGCTGCTGCAACAGTCCAGGCAAGGAGCAGTGAAGCCAGCTATGGCCATCCACGTGGAGCTGATGCTACAGTTTCTGCTTCTTGGACTCTACCCCCATCTCTAGCCCTTCCTGTTTTCACCGCTTCAGAGCTCCTTTCCTCAAAGGAGGGCAGGGGAAAATGGCAATTATGTGGCAAAGTCTACTACACACACCACCCTGACTAGGCTTTGGTGACATTTGGCTTTGTCCTCTGGCATTTTTGCAATCCAATTTACCCTGTTCTCAGGCAAGTCACTGAACCTTTCTCTCTGTGTCTCAGTTTCATTAGCTATAAAGAGGAAAATGATAACCCAGTACAAGGAAGCTCAGAGAATCAAATGAGACGGTGGATATAAAAAGTGCTTCAAAAAGTGTTATAAACATTTAAGGTATATAAAAGCAACAGTAATGCGCTTAAACATCTGCCATTTCACACATCATCATCAGCCTAACAGTTAGGCTGGTTGCAAATGAAATCTGCCAATACACATTTACTGTATGTCCAGTGTCTCTGGGGAGAAACTAGGTCTTAAGCCTGGCATGTTGAACATCATTTGCAGGTCACATGTTTCCATGTACAATTTAACAAGCCACCGAAAGTCACAGAGCCACAAATTAAATTAGTCTGACAAGCAAAACTAACAGATCCACGGAGACAGCCTAAAATATTATGGGTTTCACAATCTGAAGGCAGAATGGATATTTTAATGGAAAAGATTAAAGTTAGAGGCACCAAAGTCCTCCACTAACTGACAAAACATGCTGAAGTGATATGCCAATTACTTTATACGGTTCTCTCGTGGATTCATTTGTCTGAATGCATGTATTTATGTCTGTAATAAGTAAGGGGATGTTTGAATAAAATACTTTTCTAAAAATAAAGTTGGCTAAAATGGATGATTTTTTTTTTCTCTTTTACTCTTCCGGAAAAATGGAAATTAGTGAGCAAATCCGTTCAAAGGGTATTGACGTGGCAACTCATTTCCAGAGTTCTTGTTTCTAATACTCCTAGAGGATATGGGGAAACAGTTCAATCAGTATGGCAAGTCCCTTTGGAGAAAGTCCCCCCCAATATGGAAGAATACTGGGTGAAATGCCTAAGTACAGAATCCTGTTGCAGGTGATGTGAAATCTCTGGTGGTTATCGATGCGAACAAGTCAAGACTGAAAGGAGAGAGCCCTTGGCAACTCTGCAGTGGCCCGCCCCAGCCTGCACTGAGTCACAAAGCGCCATGAGCGTTCAGTATAAGGAATGCTGCATGAGCGGGGCCCCCACTCCCCCAACCTCTGCTCACTTCCTGCACTGTTACAGGCATGGCTGGAACGGCCATTTCAAATTTGCCCAACCCAGGCTACAGTTTCCAGAGCCTACATCCAAAAACACACACACATTACCCACTGTATTATCCTAAGCAGTTATTCTGCCCAACCAGGGAATGGACCACTTGGGAAGGGGAGTCATGAGGCTTAGTCCGCTTAGGAAAACCAGACACCACACTGTCTCAGGTGGTGCTTCGTTGTTCTCCTTCCTCATTCCCAAAGGGCTCTGGCATGAGTTTGTAGAAAATTTCTCTCAGTGAAGCAAAACCAGCATGGTTTGACAGGGACAGACTTTGGAGCCAGTCAGAACTAAGGCCAAATCTGGCCCTGCCACTTACGTAACCTGGGATGCTGGGCAAGTTGTTTCACTTCTCTGAGCCTTTATTTCTTTACATATAAAATGAAGGATTACGGCAACTACTTTGAAGGGCTGCTGTGAGGACTGACTGCTTCCCCAGGTGCTCAAATCGTCACTAGCGTTCCTTTCCTCCAACTATGGTCACCCTGCCTGATCTGGCCCAGTGGAATCTCATGGCTCCAGGAAGCGCCCCATTTCATGTCTTGCTTACGGACAGATAAACGAGACTATATTCTCACTATCAGCTACCCTCACTGGGAGTTGCAATAGGCAAACAAACAAACAAGCAAAAAAACCCTAAAATAGAAAACAGTCCAAAAATCAGTCCTATTTGGTCTGGCACATGTATTAGTATGGATTTTGAATGACAGTGTTTCTGTTGTTCTGAAATCTTGTAATCTTCTAAATAAAACATGAAGCTATGCTACCAATATCTGATCTGGAAAAATAAGACAAAGCAATGCTGTTGCTACACAGATCTCTGTTCGCTCCTCAGCTCCTCTCCTATGTTTCTACCCTAAAATGGCATGTAAAGCACAAGCACAAAGCACAGTGGACCTTCCTACTCAAATGTGCTGGGTCACTCTTCCCCTAGAGCAAGGTGGTAACTACATGCTCTCACTTCAGATGCTTCCTGTTCTATCTTCTGCCTATTTAGAATAAGCAAAGATGTGGTTTGTGCTGGATGCTTTACTGCTACACGGTGAGTATGTACTCTTTCGAAGGAGGCTGGAGGCTCAATGGGTCTAGAAGCTGAGTGGAGGATGGCTGTAGAGGTGTGGCTTGAGTGTGTACAAGGTGATGACTGCAATGGGGTGGGGTCGGGAGACTGGTCTGCAAACTTCTGCGGGGCTGGGACCATGGGGGACTTTTCTCTGTATCCCTAGTGCTTAGTATGGCATCTGGCACCTATCAGAGGCTCAGGAAATAGCTACTGGATGACAGAATGAATACATAAATGAATAAATGGGAAAGGATGAGTGAAATACCAACTACAGAATAACGAGCTAAAGAGCCGAAAGGGGATTGTACAGAAAACAGAGAAGTTCTGGCCTCAGTCTATGGCTAAAACCCGAAATGGGTAAATATGTAAATTAATACATTGTTCATTTCCAAGGATCCTGCTTTTGTGTGCAGAGCCTGAGAACTCTTCTAAGCCACTGTTGCCTCTCTAGCCAGCAGCTGCCGGGAAGAGCTCTCTAGGGCCTTTCAGGTCACCAAGGCCAAAGGCTGAGGCACCATCTTTTCTAATGACAAGCACTTCCACCTAAGAGTAAGCTGTGCCTGATGAGTTTTCTCACTGCCCAGCAGGAAGTGATATGTTTACGGAGAGCCCTTGGGTGCTCAGCACTCTGTTAGGCGCACACTGTCTGGAACTCTCAGCTAACCCTGAGGTAGATATCATCCCCATTTCATAGACTAGGGATCTGAAGTGCTGAGCAAGTCAGTCACTTGCTCAAGGCATCACAGCCATCAGCGAGCACGATGTGAAGTGGAACCAGGACACGTGCACAGGCCCGCCTGAGTCCGGAGGCTGTCGCCTGCCACCCTCAGGCTGCCTGAGGGTGAGGACCAGGACTGCCGCAGTGGTGGTTGCGGCAGTGTGTCTGGGGCCCCCACTGTAGACTTCTAGCGGATTCATGGTGTGAAAGGAAAGGCACGTTTCTGGGCGTGGCTCACTCTTCCACCTGCAGTGAGCCTCCCAGCTATGCTGCCCATGTGTATCTCCTCTGTTCGGCCACTCTGCCACCTGATCAAGAGTCGGGCAGCTACTGAAATCCCTGTGATTGGAATCCAGGGCAGAGGTTCCTGGTGAGTTTGCAGCAGACCTTCTTGCCTCCCACCTACAGCTTTTATAAATTTGGTTAACACATTTTCAGCATCCCAAGATGAACAGCAGTAGACATAATTAATAGATTGTCTCTGGAACACGGTCCACTGAACCACTGGTTTCCCTCCCACCAAAAGTATATGGCAATTTAAATTAACATCATAGAAAACATTAGTAAATTAAGCTAATTTTCTTCGAGTTGCAATACTCCCTATAAAGTGAGCACTTTTCATTGTTCATGTTCTTCGAACATATTGATTAATAAAACTAAAAAATCTTCCACAAAGTCTAAGAAATAGGTGAACAAAAATCCAAACTCCTCCCTTCTGCTCCCCATCTGATTCAGAAAGACAAACTGAATCTGAAGTGATGATATGAACTCTGAT